AGCACAATTAACCTTAGCTTTTTTAGTAACTTGGAATTAGATCTGCATCAAAATGCCAGTGACAGCAGGGAAGATTAGAGCTAGCTGTAGAAGTTTTAAGGACACTGTACATTTAATGTTCTGAGGATTTGTCTGTAAGAGTTAATAAAATTTGAAATTAAAAAAAAGAGAGTTTAAGGACAGCTGTCAGCCAGCAACTCAGGAGACTGCTGAAATTACAAATGTGAAATATTTATGTAACATTTAAGATTTAGTTTAATAAAATGTAAGTGCTACTGTGTTTGTGTGTATGATTTAATTCTTACATTCCTAATGTACTGCTCCTACATCTGCATCTTAGTACATAAAAATTGTTAATGGTGTCATTTCCTTAATGAATAAAAATCAAGTATCTTAAAAAAAAACAAAAACAAAACAAAAACACCACAGAAAATATACTCTTAGATGTTGCAAAATGTTCCACTGGGCTGTAAATTAACAGGTTTTAGCGATCAGATTTGCACTATTGTCCGAAGAAATGTGAAGTATTACCAATGGGAAACTGGATTTAAATTAATGATTTTTTTTTTTTTATGATTTACAGCCAATCTCCCTGAGAGTCCCCAACAGGACTACTTGCCCAAGGATAACTCACAAGGACAGCAGCTTGCATGATCAGATGCTATTTTGAGCCAGTGTATATTTGAAAAGGCCAATTATAAACTTAAAAAGTAGCCAGGGTCCCAGGTTTAACAGCATAGCTTTTTACAATTATAAACTTATGCTACTCCACCCTCACTTTCCCAACATACCTTTCTCTTTGTCGACTCTTATGACCACAACACACTCATTTCTGCCTATGCGGATGAGTTTGTTTATGGAGCGAATACGTCTCCTGGATAGTTCACTAAGAAGAATCATGCCTTCAATGTTGTTGTATTCCAGTAGGCTGACATAAGCTCCCATTTCAGCAATGGATCGAACATTGACCATCACTACATCTTCCACCTCTGGAAATTTATGCTGGTAGAATCTACAGCTTAGTCCAGGCATACTGTGATTTGAGCAAAAGTAGTAAAGATTATCATCTCATTGCACTGGCCAACACTAACTTATTATTGTGGCAAAAACTGCCCTACAAAAGGGGTTTGGGGAGATAGCATTAAAAACTGATATATAATGGTTTTGTTTTTCCTATCACTGTCTAAAATAAAACCTTGTTAAGGTTCTTCAAGACACAACCTGTCCAATCACCCAACCACCCTTGAAAATAAGGAAATACCATGTTGAAGGGTAAAGTCTGCCCTGAGAGTATCATGCACACATTGCATTATCTACTATCTCTAAAACATCAAACCTCACCACAGATGAAAAGATACAAACTACTTTCCCTGCACTTACAAAGTGATCCAAAATCATAACAAAGACTTCAATAAAACCAGCAAATATGCAGGGAAAACATCTGTGGAACTGTGCAAATCCATGGACACTCGCTTTATATCCATGAGTATCTGCATCTGCCAATGTGGAAGCAGATATTTACCAGCTCATTTTTGTGGCTATGAATGCAGATACAAATTTTGTATCTAGAGCCCTGCAAATTTGCAGGCATCTCCAGATGTCAGTGCGAATATCTGCACCGAATTTTTGCAGATACAGATACAAATTTTGTATCCACACAGGGCTCTAATCATCTGGAGTCCAGCTTACTGGGCAACACAAAATGGTGTAAGGAAAGTAGGAGGTTGGAACTAAGGTTTTACATTACAGGTCAAGGAGAGTGACTCTGGACAATGTAGTGAATGTCTGTATCCCAAGAGAACGTCCCAGGTGCAGTTCAGACTCCTTGGAAAGACTTTCTAGAAACAGGTACTTTGGGGTGGGGAAGCGCAACAATGACCCAAAGGAGATGCACTACAAATGGAGAATATAACACTAACTGGCTCAGATCTGATGAGGCCCTAGACAAAGAACAGCTAGCTCAAATAAAGTGTAAGTAAGCCAAGGTGATGCCAGTCAGAATGTGAAAATATCAAAGAACCAACTGTTTTTTTTTTTCTAGGGATGTCAACATGTAGTCAAATATAGCTTAGGCTTATTGGTTAATCTTGATGACTAGATGCATCCCCCATCCTGCATCTGTATCAGAGGCAGGAAAAGGGGAGGGGAGAGAGTGGGAGTTGGTGCCCGTGAGGAGCTGGTTTAAAAGCTGGCTCCCCACGAGCTCTGGATCTGCCCTGCTACAAGCAGCTGCCTCTACTAGAGGCTGGGGCCAATACATGTGGGGAGCTGGCTTTCAAGCTAGCTCCCCACACGTATTGGCTCTGTGAAACTGCCTGGCCCTTGCTTGTTGCCTCCTACAGAGGCAGGAGAAAAGGGGGCCAGGGAGGAGTTGGTGCTGTGGGGAGGAGGGGAGAGAAGCCAGCTTTTAAAAGCCAGTTCCCCGGTGCTGCTTGAGCCACCCCCATAGGGATGTAGAGGGAGGGAGTAGCGGAGGAGAAGCAGGGGCAGCTGCAATGAAGCAGCCTCTGAATGTGCTGGGCCGGAACTCCCTGCGGACAGAGGGTGCGCTGAATCCCACAGGACAGCCTCAGATCGTGGCAGCAGTGTTGGGCGACAGGCAACTGGTCCATGAGAAGAGATGGTTTTTAAACTGGCTCTCCTTGCGACCAGATCTGTCTGCCACCCTGCATTACTGCCACTGATACAGAGGCAGCAGTGCAGGGTGGCAGGGGACTTCTCAGGAGTCTTGCTGGGAACACACTGGCTGCTGGCCCTGCCCATGGGGACTATCCAATAGTCATGTGACCGCATGAAATCTTAGTGTTTTCATGACTATTCAATGACATGATATCTAACATCCCTATTTCTCCTTCCCCCGAAGACAACTATCATTAGCAGCATGGAGCAAAGCACCAAGATTGCAGCACAATGCTCACTAAACCTATATGATCAGATGGCCAGGGTGGCAAAGAAAATGCCATCTATTGCCTCTAGCTTGCTATGAAACTTTGTCACTGCTCAACTAAACTACCATAACTCAGTGTCTGGGCCTGAATATTTACTGCAGAGGCTTCAGACCATGCAGAATGCAGGAGGAAGTAACCATGCTTGCGTTCATATCGCTCCACTAGCTCCCCCTCTGTTTCAATGATCAGTTCAAAACTTTGGTCCTGATCTTGAAAGCTACCCATCGTATATACGAGTGACCATGCTTCCACTCGCACCCGCATAAACGAAGCTCAAGTCTTCGGGCCTCGCACCGCAACCGTGCCAAGACACCCGCACCGCG